TTGACAGTTTGTCATGACTTATAAATTGATTTGCGTGATTTACTATGTGCGAACATGTCTAGCACAGTCTTATTGTGCAAGTGTTTGATTATGTCTTATTGTGAGTTACTGATTTACCTCGGGTGCTCAGGGCGTTGCACGACAAATGTGCACACTTGAAATATACGTAAATCATTGAAACACTTGAAGTGTTTATGACTTTCAAGAGATCTTTTACTCCAAAATGTCCCTTCAGTCATCATTGTTCTCCCTCAAACCTGTACGACTTTTATTCTCTGGTGAACACAAAAGAAGATACTTCTAAGAATGTTGTTGCTGTGTTTTTCCCCCATCCCAAAAATAAGTTCTTTACTGGGATTGATTGTTCTGTGGGGCAACACTTTTTTTTGTTCTGCAGTAAAGTTCTTTAAACTATTCAAATGGGGTGACACGGTAGCTCAGTGGTTTGCACTGTCAACTCACAGCAAGAAGGTTTCTGGTTTGAGCCCTTGCTGTTTTAATTGGCATTTCTGTGTGGAGTCTGCATGTTCTCCCAGTGTTTGCGTGTACTGGGTTGCAACTGGAAGGGCATCCGCTGTTGGATAAGTTGGCGGTTCATTCTGCTGTGGTGACCCCTGATGAATAAAGGAACTAAACCGAAAAGAAAATGAACGAATTGATAAAAGTATTCAAATGTTCTTCACACTATAGAAAAACGTTTTGTCGGAAACCAAAAAACACTATGATAGATCATCACTGTGAACCCCCTCCTTTTTTTTTGGTTCTTCCTGCCATCTTTATTTTTAAGTCTGTAACTTTTACTGACAAAAGCAGTCCTTCAAAATATTCCAAAATATTTAACAAAGGCATACAGGTTTGGAAGAAGGTGAAGGTGAGTCGCCGATGACAGAATGTGCATTTTTGGGTGAAGTCTCCCTTTAAGCACCATGGACCTCGCTGTGGAGGCCAAGGCTGTACTTGAGGGATATTCTCTGAATGAGATCACATATGCTGCGTGCTGCCAGAGAAAGACGAGAAAAAAGGACGGACTGATTACATGATCCAACATGTGTGTGCTAGGAGTTGGGTGTGCTGTGACAATGACTTTGGCAGGCCCGAGGAAACTCTACATTCCTGCCAAATCATTGTGTACACAGAGAGTTCGGCTTATGCGTCTGTCGAGATTACAGGGAAGCAATATGCGGCTGTTCAATGGAAGGCCTCTATGTAGCGCCGCAGGCTCCATTGCACAACCAAAGGGAAACGGTGTAGGGAACATGCATTAAATGTTCCCTCGTGCTACATAATGCACTGCCACTGTAATACAGGTAATCCAATGAAATTGGTGCACAAATTAGTTGCTGCATTCACAATATAAATATTTACACAATTAAAGAACTCTTGAGGTTTTCTTTCCTGAAAAATTACTTCTGAATTTTTTTCAGATTAGAGATTTGGAAATGTTAAACAACCCTGACCAAAATTTTAGTATCAAAATTATTATTTTTATTTGCACGGATGCCATTTTGGGTTCCACTTAAGAGAACCTTTAAGAGAGAACTCAAAAACACTCACTGCTTGTTTAAATGACTTATTTAAAATGAGCGGAAACTAGACAACCCTTGAGTTTTTTTTATTTTTTTTGGAAAACTTAATTTTTTGTGTTTAATACACTTAAATTTGTTATTTTATTCAATTTGTGTTGGGACAACATAAATTAATTGAGTGGAACTCATTTTTAACAGTAAATGCTTCTATATAGAACATTTTTGTCAGTGTTACGAGTAAGGTACACTGTAAAAAAAAAAGTTGTTTTTAGTTGACTCAAATTTCAACCCAAGTACGGCACTTGATACTTGATAGGGTATATGCGGAAATATGTGGAAGTACTAAATTTGTCAGTAATCCGAGTCAAGTGCTTCCGGTGAACTGTATACCATTAGAAAATCAGCGCGTTTAAGGTCTGTTTTCTTCAAAAATCAATGATCTCCACTGGCTGAGTGATATCCGATATAAAGTGGGTCCCAGATTGTGCAAAAAGCACTGCATTAAATTAGTTTTCCCCACCATGTCCAAATATGAACATTTATTTTACCCCAGTACGTTCAATAGAGCTTCTGCGCTAGTCTGCTAATCCTGATGGGTGCGTGCGAATAAACAGCTTTTTGTCTCATTATATCTATTTAACTGATTGTATTTTAATTACTATACAACATTGATGCTGTAAAAGATACCGTATAATATTAAAAAAAAAAGTCATATTAATCTTTCACCAGAGGTTTATCAGTATGGGAAGAAACACTAGCTGTGCATATACCCTATTAACTTTACTTTTACAATTAACTTAAGTTTTACTTGATTAACTCAACTCAAGTTGCAGCAAGTCGTCTCACAATTTTAAGTTGAGTCAACTTTTTCTTTTTTTTCCCTTTTTTTCAGTGTATGAATGTGAAAAACTGAAAATAGGGGTGTGGCTTTATTATTTATTTTTAGTACAACAGAGCTTATACAAAGATTAGCCAACAAGTAGTGCTTATTTCACGCCATAATCATAATAATCATCATAATAATTTCAAACATCATAATAATTTCATTCAAAGATTTGCAAATGTCAGGTTACTGACATTGGGCGAACTGTAAAAAGTGAAACCACAAACTGACACCAGGTTGTAGCTATTGTTGTTTTGTTTTAAAAAAAACAAGTAGACTTTTTAAAGCATACTACATTTCGGCTATAAACAAATAGCGGACATTCCTTTGTATCCTTACAACTCTATTAATCTGAGTCATGCAATAGCAGACTTTAATCGGATTATCTACAAAAACACACACACACACAAACAAAAAGAAAAACATTTTATTAAACCAGGTCGAAAATATCTGACTTACTGTACGCAAAGGCAATGCAAATAAAGCAGAATATCTACAGACTGTAACCTAAAAGAAATTATGGCGGGTCTTTTCCAGTCACTCTTAAGACCTAGGCCAATTTTAAATTATTATAAGGTAATTGCTTGCCGTTTTAATTTAATGAATTCTAACTTGCATGCATATTTTATAAGATACTTCATTTAAAAATAGAGTACAGTACATTTTTGCTTTCACTTTTTAGTGGTTAAATAATGATTAGTGCCATGAGAGCAAATGTCACATCAGAAGTTAAAATGAAATAGGTACTCACCTGAGTACGTTTTCTTCATGTTCATTGATTCCCTTTTCTCCTGAGAATTTCAACTTTAGTCTATAAGGTCCGTGTGGGAGATCTGAACAACATCTGAAATATGATCTATCGGTGAGGAGAAATTCTCTCTGTCGCTCCGTACAGCACATGTACCTATCACGGCCAAAAGCTTTGTGTTTTATTCGAACTTAAACCTACGAGTTCGGCTTGATCTAATCTAATCTAATACTCCCATACACCTCCAGCTTTACCTGTCCACACAGACACACACCTGTGGAAACTCCGCCTATGGATGAAGGTATGACGACACAACTGACTGCGGGAACTGTAGGAGTAAACAAACATGGATGTGACATTTCTGTCAGAGTATTTTCAGCTTCAAGTCACACGTAGCTTAAGTAGCACGTAGTCTAAAGACGTGGTATAGGTGAATTGGATTCGCTAAATTGTTCGTAGTGTATGTGTGCAAAAAAGTGTGGGTGTTTTCCAGTTTTGGGTTGCGGCTGGAAGGGCATCCGCTGCGTAAAAATATGCTGTATAAGTTGGTGATTCATTCCTCTGTGGCGATCACTGAGGATGTTTTATCCATGAGAACAATTTTATATAACGCGGTGCAAAGCATATTCGTCTAGTAGATGAAAGTCAATTAATTTAAATCCACTTACGTTCTAAACATGTAAAGTTTTCTTTGTGTAAATCTCTGTGTAAAACAAGTTAAAATGTCTCCTGCATTTCTAGTTAGATATGCATTTATTTCTGTTATTGATTTACAACAAAGGCATTAAGTTCATGTTTTATTTATATGTCATACTTATATACTTTTTTGTGTGCTTTCTGTTTTTATCTGAGTAAATATGTTTACATATGTAAACTTAAATATTAAAATTATATTTTTGGGTGCTTTCTTACTATTTTTACATCAGTCGGCCCAATATTTTTTATCTCGCCAAGGGCTGGCACGGCGGCACTGCATGCACCTGTGTTAATAACCTGAACATTTTACATTGGTCAAAACAGATATTTCTTAGTTAAGCCTTTAATCAAAAACAGTTTTATTTAACTATGTTTTGAACATATTAGTCGAGAAATAAAACAAACAATATTAAATTGAAACGAAAGATTCATTTTAACTGAATGAAGTACTGCTTGAAAGTGTTTTTTCAGCATAGTAATTTGTAAGTGATTTTTAATACCATGTTTTTCCACAAAATGCTAATACACTGTTTATAAAAAGCACTAAAAGCAAAGTAAAACATCCACAATCTAAAATGTATTATATAAAAAATAGAAAAAGTTTAGTAGGCCAGAAAATATTCATAGTGTATACGTGATATCTTTTCCCAACTAAAAGTTTTTTTTAAATGTCCTTACTTTACATTTTACTTCAAAATTGAGTCTAAATCTGCATGCCTTTATTACTGTAGAGATGAGTTGCATACTTCAGGTAGTGATATTGAGAATTTTACTATGAGAGCGTTAGTCATTTAACCCCAAACACAATAATATTGCTATCAAAACCTTGTTGAGTTTATTAAAGGTTGTCCAATCAAACCTTGACTCAGTCATGTACTCCTAGAACTGAAGCTTTGTCTAACGTTCACATGGTGATAAATCTACACAAGCTGGTCCACATGTAATGAATGTGGGGCTTTCAACACAAGCACCTCAATGGGGTGGGGGGGGGGGGTTATGTGTATAAAGTGTATAAAACTTTTTTGTGGTTATGGGTTTTAGTAAACAACTAAGAAAGACTAAAACTCATTTGGTTCCCTAGTCTGTCAAAACCAAAACCTTTTGCTGGTTGTGTTTCTAGTCACAAGAACACATTACAGAAAACAACTTACTTTAAAAAAATATTTTTATTTACAGATTTTTTTTTATTAATGACATTCTTCTGATGGGAACAACATGCCATTTTGATGTACAACCTAGACAACAAGTCCTTTATGTAAAGAAATAACATATATACAAAGAGAAACTGATTTGGCAAAGACTCTTAAGCTGATATTTTCTCTCATGTGTCTTCTGACTTCTGGTAACTCCCCAATGTAGTTATAACACTTGAAGTTTCGATCTTTATGTTTTGGTGGGCTAAAGTTAAATGAAAATTGGTGAGCTTCTCTTCAGGAGATGCAGTCTTGCTCATAAGTGGTCTTGACTATACTATGCCACAGGAAGACGTCTGCATATTCATCTCTGAGAAGCAGAATGTGCAAAAGGACAGCCAAAGCAGACTATAGACCGCAAGTCACAGAAAAAGCACAGACTGAAACTAAGGGACATTTACACATCCTGTTTTTCTATTGTCTTGTTATTTTTGTTCCTGTAAATTAGCAGTGCAATGTACACTGGTGAAACTATACATTCAGGTTTTCAAACAACTTACACCTCATAAAAACAGAATAAAAACTCATATGTTAATATATCTTAATGCACTCTGTGATATTTACAATAGACAGAAGAGGATAGAAGGGATTTCTCTAAATTTGTAAAATGAAATATCAACAGAGGGGTTTACGCAATGGTGCAGTGGGTAGCGCTGAAGGTCACTGGTTCAAGCCTCGGCTGGGTCAGTTGGCATTTCTGTGTGAAGTTTGCATGTTCTTCCCATGTTTGGATGGGTTTACTCCGGGTGCTCCGGTTTCAAAGACATGCGCTATAGGTGAATTGAATAAGCTAAATTATCTGTAGTGTGTGTGAGAGAAAATGAGAGTGAACGGGTGTTTCCCAGTTATGGGTTACAGCAAGAAGAGTATCTGCTGCGTAAACATATGCTGGATAAGTTGGCAGTTCATTCCGCTGTGGCAAGCCCAGATTAATAAAAGGACTAAGCCGAAAAGTAAATGAATGAACAGAGATAGATTAAACAACTCAAATCAGACAGTACTTACTAACAGTACAAAAGTAAATGTTATTTATACTCATGCATATATATTTCTCTATTTTTTTATTTACTTATATATTTCAATATATATATATATATATATATATATATATATATATATATATATATATATATATATATATATATATATATTTATATATATATATATATATTTCTTCTGTCAAATACTGATGGCATTCTTTCAAATGAAAGTAAAAATGCCCTGACGGCATAAAATGGCGAAATAACAAAAGGTTTGCATTCTTTCAGACTATTATATTGATAATGACAATAATTTAACCCCTGAGAAGGTACAATCCAGTGACTTGCTGTCATGTAACAACATTTGATGATATCACACACAAACACAAAAATCAGCCCAGAACCTGAAATCTGTTGATTTCTCATCTGTACTCCCTCTTCACAGTCATGACCTCGTACACTTCATTTGCAGACGTTTTTTCCTGTTCAGCGGTTTGTCTCATCTTCTTAATCTGGGGTAAAACAGAAAAAAAGATCATTAACCTCTACACACACCTGCTGAAAATGCCTAAATATGTGACAACTTTGTTTCTGAAAGAACATTCCAGACACCATGTGCTTAATGTCTAGAATATGAGTCTCTGTGTTGCCCAACAATGTATTCTGATAGCCCATCCACCTTAAAGGAACATCTACAAATGTTGAATGCATGATGCCTCTAACAATACACACCTCATATTAAACGTATATATTTGAATCACCCTAGTATGTGTGTGTGTATGTATGTATGTGTGTGTGTGTGTGTGTGTGTGTGTGTGTGTGTGTATATATATATATATATATATATATATATATATATATATATATATATATATATATTTATTTATTTATTAAATAATAATAAAAATGTTTAATTGCTAAATATTTATTAAGATTTATTAACTGCTTTCTTATTGTATGTAGCTTCAAATTAAATTATTACTTCAGTCATTATTGCTTTTATTATTTTAATAATAATAACAATAATAATAATAATAATAATTATTATTATTATTATGTGTGTGTACTGTTGTGTGTACATGTACTGTATATGTCACAGATGCATATGAAATGGTAACTTTACAATTAGCATAAGTGCAAAGCATTTACAAAAATTTTGATAGGCTTCAGATTTACAGATATGGAGTGTGTTTTAGGTGTACGATATTGACCTTGGGCACGACCCACACTCCCAGCACCAGAAGCAAGAGTAAAAGCACACTGCTGGCGGTCAGAGCCACCACTGGAACCAGTAAGCCGTTCATGCCTCCAAACTTTGAAGGAGCAGTGGAAGCAGAAACTTGCCCCGTATTTTGCTGTCTCTCTCGGTCTGCAAAAGAAATGTAAGATCAGGACAGTCCAAACACAGACACAAACATGCATAACCTGATTTAAAATTATAATAACCTATTACTGCATTAAAACAATTTTCATTGAAAGTCCAATAAACAGGGTTTCTGCAGGTTTCGCAGAGCTAAATTTAAGACATTTTAAGACAATTAGGCATTTGGAATTTTTCAAATGGCTCAGATGGAAAAGATTTTGCCCTATCAATTTTTTTTAATAATTTAATAAATTTAATAATACAATAATAATTTAATTTTAAAAAATTAAATATTTTAGATTTTATTTCTTTGCAAAATATTTTAAATATTGTGTAAAAACAAGCAAGCTCTACTTGTATCCATACACTTTTTTTCCAACATAAACTTAAAAAAAACTATAATAATAATAAAATTAAATGTATGCACAACAATCTGTCCAGATCAGTGTCCTCAACAGGAAATACATGGAGCACTTTTATGTGCCTATAAGGAAAATAATTAAACCATTATGAAAAGTAGAGTTAAAAATTAAATAAAAATAAATATTAAATAAAATTAAATAAAAAGTTGAAAGTTTTATTGGGATGGATTGTATAGGTTTTGGCCAGATTTGGTAGCTATACATGAACAAAGGAAAATTAAGACCCATTTAAAAAAAAATTAAGACCAACAACATAAAATTTCAGCATATTTAAGTAAGACTTTTTAAGGGCTAAAATTTGGATTTTAAGGTTTAAGACATCTTAAGAATTTTTAAGACCCCGCAGAAACCCTGAATTCAGTTTGAGTGAACTAAATTTTGCTGGGTTGACAAGAATAATCTTCTCTTTAATCTGTTTGCCAAGAGATATACACACTTTTTTAATATGTCCATTTCCTAGATTCTTTACTAACTGTAGCTTTTAAAACAAGCATTATAAACAAACTAAATATTTGTATTAAAACAACTGAGATTTTTAATGTTTGTAAATGTCATATATTCAATATAATATATAAGTTTTATCATTTAATAACCAACATTTTGTGAAATATTTTTGTTGAAAGGAACAGTTTTCATTTTGTCTAAATTTAAAATGTCATTTATACTTTTATATTTATATAGAAGCTGAATTTCAGCATCATCACCCAATCTTTCAGAAATTATTGTTCAAGAAAACATCTTATTATCAATGTAAAAGGCATTCATTCCAAATACAATTTTTGCTAAGACTTTATTTTTATGGTATGATTTTATTACTTCTCATTTGAGTATTAATAGAGTGTCTGCTTAATACTGTGTCTGTTGATACTGCTCCTTGGACAGACATATAGCTGACTATAAGAACCTTTGCAAGTATTTGTCAACTTACACTAACCCTAACCCTAACCCCAACCCCAACCCCAACCTAACAGTCTACTTATAATCTACTGAGAATTAGCTGGCACGTAGATGCAATGGAAATTAAAATTAAAAAAAAGTTTTAGTACATTAAATGGACCGTCAAAATAAAGTTATGCTCATTTTTTTCTTTCTTTTTGACTGTAAATTTTAATTAATTTATTACACTAACATAAAACAATACATCACAGCTTAAACGATCAGAGCACAACTAAAACTATACTCATTTCTACATGTATTCAAAATTGTACTAATTATTATGCAAGTAGACATATTTAAAAGTATTAAAGACATATTTACTCACCATGAACCACAAGAACAACACCAGACTGATCCATTTTACACTCACGAGTCACTATATGATTGCACTCGCACCAGTAGGCACCGGTATCTTCTTTTTGCAGGTTCAAGATGTCTACAGTCAGAGTCTTGCCATCAAATTTGGCTTCAACACGTCCTTCATGAGTAGGCTTAATAGTTAATTTGTTTGATTGTATAAAGTAGTATAAGACTTCCTGCTTATCCTTATGTCGGGTGAACAGAGACACTCCCATCGCATCTTTATCAGAGATATGACACTTCATGGTGGCACTTTCACCTTTAAATTTGATCACATCTGAAAAATGATTTAAAAAAAGAGTGTGGATCAGTTTACAGCACACAAATATCAGACATAGATAGCATTTGCTTTCATGTGTGGAACATTAAAGAACACATTTGAATAGTGTTAAACAAACAGTTTTTGTTCATTTTTAGGTGGTAAACAGTTTTGGTAATCCTTAATATTCATTTTAGGTGAAGTATGCCTTTAAGTTTCAATGTCCACTATGGTTAAGAGAGGGGTGGAAATGAAAAATATATTGCATGTTCCACAGAAGAGAGAAAAACATGTAGGTTCAACATGAAGATGAGTAAATGATATATTTAACACACCATCCATATTGTACAACAAAAAGTATTGAATGTGAGTCAAATCTAAAGTAGTGTAAATACTAATGTAACATGCACAAACTGCCAAATGTAAAACAGTAAAACACAAAGCACTAACCTGCACTTTCTGCAAAGCTGCTGAGACAAAGAACACCCAACAACAGGAAGGTAAACAGCAGAGTCTTCATTCTCATTGTCATCAGAGCATCTCCAACTAAACACAAGAAGCAAACCAAATCTTAAGTCTGCACTGCAAATTTATATACTCTCTCTCTCTCTCATGCGCACACACACACACACGCTCCAGCCCACAACTTCCACATCTTAGTCAGCAACCCTCAGGCATCTGAAAGCAAAAACATTTTCAAGAGTTCTGCTTTTAAATGTGAAAAAAATATCTTCTTGATTCATTTAGTGATTTCAGAAGAACTACAATGGACAAGTAATTGCATCATTATCATTAAATAAACGCCGTAATATATTTAAAGCTCAATTAAATCAACATGGATTATTCTTTTTATGGAAAACTGCAGTATTTTTTAGGGTTTCTGCAGGTTTCAGCAAGTCAATTTTAAGACCTTTTTATGAATGAATTTTAAGACTTATAATGGGCTTAACCTTGAGGATTTTTACTTTCCAAAAAAAGTAATAACTAAATAGTACTTAAATAATGTGTCAGAACAAGCAAACCATACATACTTTTCTTTGACAAGCTTTAAAAACTATAATAAACTAATAGTACAACAGTCTGTCCAGGTCAGTGTCCTCACCACATATGGTCTGCAAATACATGGAGAACTTACAGATGTTATTGTGAGGAACCATAGCGTTAAACAGAGCTGTAAATATAAGTTTTACTGAGACGTTTAGTTAGTGTCTTTATACTGTATACAGGTGTTGGCCTGATTGGGTAGCTTTACATAGACACTGGAAAATAAGACCCATTTAGAATTATTTAAGACCTACAATTCAATTTTTTTGTGAATTTAAAACGTTTTAAGACCTAAAATTAGTTTTTGAAATTTAGGACATTTTATGACGCCTGCAGATACCCTGATTTTTATTCATTTACCATTCAAATCTTTACAATTATAATCTCCTTCTTGGAACAACATTCCTTCTCTTTTGTTAAGACAGCAGGTGTTCACTGTGCATCATGCAATGATCAGATTTTTTTCTAAATACTTGTGCCTAGTACAGTAGTTTGTAATAAGTGAATTCCCACTGGATAAAATCCAGTACCAACCAAGAAAAATCTTGGATACTTTTTATAATAAAAGAAAAAAAGTTGATCACAACTCTTGCTTTGTGACAACTTTGTTTCTGAAATGACATTCCAGACACCGTGTGCTTATTAGGAGTCTTTGTGTTGCCCAACACTGTTTTGATAGCCCATCCACCTTTGATTTCAAATGTTGAATGCACAACACCTCTAACAATACACATCTCATTTTAACCGGTTACTTTTATCACCCTAGTATTTGAAGCACACTTTTATTTATTATTGTTGTACTGCACAAAAAAAGCATCACAGAATCTAAGATAACTAATGGCTCCAAGAATGCTCTTTGTTTGTTAGCCAGGACATTTTTTTATTTTTTATATACATACAGTAAATATACAAATCCATCTAGGTTAAGATGTTCTTTTTTTAGTACTATAATAAGAACAAAACAAAACAAAAACCATCTAAGATAAAAATTCTTTAGTTATTCACTTTAAGAAGGTATTAAAGCTGTATTTAAGCTATAAATAAATGAAAGATGTCCCTGCAGTCGCATCTTTTCAAAAGGTACATATTTCTAATTAAGAATGAGGTAATATAATGTAATGTAATGTAATGAGTGCAGACCAGAAAAACAACACAATCATGATTGGGTAAAACACAAGAGAAGCATGCCTAATGTGAGTCCAAGCTTTAAAATCACCAGACTGACAGTTATAACAGTCACAGTTACGGCTGTCCAATATTGAAAAAAAATGGAACAATTTTTAATTCTGCTATGTATATTGCGATATAAATACAATTTCACTAAATGAATTGAATAAATGTTTGGAAAGAATTGATCATTTTAGATTTATTGGGATGATTCTGCAGGGGAATGCATCTGCATAAAATGTAATAAAGAATCTACAAGCATAGATCAATTTGATAAAGAAAAATACATAAAGGACATAAACACTGTCTTATTGTTATCCGAGGAGTGGAAATGTATTCAGGTATACAGTAACTGAATAATCAAATGTAAAATAATACTGCAGTCATCGTTTTATAAACAATTCAACAAAATTAATCATTATTCATTTTTCAAAGTTACAAACAGAACAGTTTCTTGCACCTGAACGATTTTAAAACCTTTTCACAGTCACAAGGCTCAAAAAAGACTTGCAAAATGATGAACTATAACCCAGACTCAACATAGCCTATATTCTCGTTGTGACTATTGCAAATGATCACGTTGTGATATCGATATACTGTGCACAGTATAGCTGTGCTGAGGCCTTACACATCTACAATTATATCAAACTTAAATATGACAGTTATGCAGCAAGACAGGAAACAAAACATTTGAATGGTAAACAGTTTATATTTATATATTTGACACTTTTTACATACATTGTTCATCACATCCAGTAATCATGTATCCAAGACTTGGATCAGTAACTGTAATATTGAGTTTAGACTGCACAATTTTAAAAGTCGTTGTGTCACAGATGTTTTCACACTGCCTGACTTTAAAACAGGAAGAATCGCTAATAACCTTTGTCTTGGTCTTACTACCAAACACACGCGAGAAGTGACATGGAAACAACACTAGGTCACGTAGTACATCTTTTGTTATTAACTACATAGTGAAAGAGAAGCCAGTGGGGTAGGAAATGTACTAAATTTTGCTCACCTGGCTTTGAAGGGAATTAGCCATTTCTCCTCAACTTTACTTCTTTTTTGACCCGGTTGTGATATTTGCTCAGATGACACGACAAAGAGACATGGGTGCTTCTGCCAAATTTACACTAGTTTTTTTTAAATGAGTGCTTTAGGTGATAACCGATGTTATTTTCAGACAGAACACATTTCACATGGCATGATTTGAATCGCCGACAGCTCCAGATATTTAGCATGCTAAATATGACGGGTGTCAGCGACTCATTGGCAATACTCTCAGATCACGTGTTTGATAGTTCACACTGTGTAATTGTTAAGTGAACGAGCACTGATTTGCCTGTGATTTCAGGCATTTGTCTGTGATTTCTCAAAACTTGCCAGCGAGTCAAAATTAGGACTTAAATCATGCAGTCTGAACTCATAAAGCATAAGAAATGTTAATTTGTGTTTGTACAAACAAGAGTCACAGTGTTTGTATTTAGATGAAGGCAAGTAAACGTGTGATTCTGGGTAAATTGCGTGTATTGTGAGTGAGTGAACTGTACCTTTAAAATGTTCTCTATGTGTCTGCCATAAAAGGTTAGTTCAATAATCATATTTGCAAATCTAAATTATTACCCGCAGCTGCTGACAATGCACTTATTATGAATTAAATTAATCTGTCATTTTTTTGCCAATGAACGTGCCCATTAAGCGACGATTTTTGTGCATATTTCTCATAGCCATTTGCCCAGGCTGTGAAAAAAATGTAATAAAGTTGTAAATAATGTTCAGTTTGTTGCACCTGGCGATTATTTTGGTTCATAAGTAAATTATAAAGAACTTAATAAAAAGATGACTTTGATTCCTTCTTTTTTTTGCCAGTGGATAATAAATGCAGATTTTAGCTATTTCAGATTCGAGATTAGTTTATTCTGCTCATTCCAAAATGAACTATAGAGAAAAATGCAAGTATTCAATTAGACTTTTAAACAATTAGTATTTATTACACAGTCTACATATTTTAGATAACTTCACCTGCTTTAAATCACCATTTTTCAGTTTATTGTTTTTGTCTAAACCTGAACTTATCTAAACGCAAAATACTGTATATCGTACATACAGTTGAAGTCAGAATTATTTCTGATAATATATGATAATATATGATAACAAATTATACAGATTTGTTTAAGTATAGGTATTATAATCCATCTGTTTGATTGCCAATGTCCTGACATTTTATCCTACCCATCAGATTATTCTACCGACACTGTGTTTGAAAGGTTCTGAGGTTGGGGTTAGGGATTAGGTAGGTTAGGGTTATATTACAGCTTCATATCACGTGCTACTCCACATTTACACTGGTAGCAAAATCTGATGGGTAGCATATTGCATCATCAAAATGTGCTACCTACTTTTTGAATGGGAGGTAAGACAATCTGACAAGGTAGGACAAATCTACAGAACACTGGCAGCACAATGGCTCAGTGGTTAGCACTGTTGTCTCGCAGCAAAAGTTCGCTGTTCGAGTCCCAACTCGCCCAGTTGTTCTTCCCGTGTTCATGTGTGTGTGTGAATGCGAGAGTGTTTGAGTGTTTCCCAGTACTGGGTTGTGGCTGAAAGGGTATCCGCTATGTAAGACATATGCTGTAATAGTTGTCAGTTCATTTTGCTTTGACAACCCCTAATAATTTACAGACTAAGCCAGTTTGATTGCCAATATCCTTCAAACCGCATAGGGTTTAACCATGTGTCAGTAAGATGTTTTAATGAATATGTAAATTATTATTTTAAAAAAATTATGATCACAAATATTTTCACTTATTCATATGAGTGACCATTCTGCTAAAACATTTTTTTTATTTTAATAAGTCTAAGTCAGATTATGTATATTTGTTTTCATACTTCACTCACATTTTGACATTTTCACAAAAAATGTAGTTTTAAAACATTAATCACATGTATTTTATATTCTGTGTGTATAAAATCATGTTTATGAATTCACTTCAACACACACACACACACACACACACACACACACACACACACACACACACACACACACACACACACACACACACACACGCCAAAATGGGAAGTCTTTAATACAAGTTCCCCATTTTAAATCAGCATTAATACATTATCTAGAAAATACGTCAAGCTTCTCTTATTTTGAGGAATTTCTAGGCTTCATGATAACAGTAAATGCCCTTTAATGAGGAATTGAAATTGCCCATTAATGAATACTATAAAGAATGTGCTGATATAAGTGTACTTGCGGGAATAAATGGCTTCAAAGTGTGGTCCTCACAATCTGACAATGAAATGCAAACACAGAAAAAAATGAGTTTCATGCAAGTGAGCTTCAATATTACGTAAATGCTGAATTACTCACATGACAGATCATCTCTGTCTAACCAGAAGCATTTCCTGGATGTCTGCAAAAACTGTTGAGATCAACGTCTCTCTCTTCAGTGTGCCGTCCAGAAACACTGTATAAAGTGCAAATACATTCAGCCAGACTTTTACAGTTCACCACAACTCTGTGATTAAAGCGTTTTATAATATTACAGTACCTATGTCATCTACAGTTTCTTCCATGGCTTTTCTGTTTTTCAGGTACATGGGCCAAACGTAGCTATCAAGGTAGCCTGGCGGATCTGGAGGCACATAGACTCTGGAGCTGCCCAATAGAGAGAAATGAAAGAGATGGTTTTACTTCATTTAATGATATGTTCATCACACTAGACACGTCTGACAGGAGTCTAGATCGCACCTTCTTCTCTCTTTGCACGTCTCATAAGGAATCTGCAGGAAGTACTTCTTGTCGAACAAAGCATTAAGAGGCCTGGAGGTAAAACATGAATCCATGAAACAAAAACACAATAAATAATGCAATCCATAACCAAAGGTCAACAAGCATGTTTTAGTGACCCTGAGGTCATTCACACTAACGAATAACACAGCAGAAATATCAATTTGATAACTGTAGATTTGTTAACATTTTAGTATATCAGGTTATGTAAAACACATTTCTGCTGTCACAAGCAAAACAAGATATATTTTACTTGTGTTTTTGAAGATAAAATTGCTTTATAATAATTTCTATGATTTAGAGGACTGATAATTCTTTCAAAAGCATGAATTTGGATCTTAAATTAGGTGATATAATTTAATGTAGCTTTGAAGAACTGCTACAAAATTTCCTTGACTAAGGAAAGAATTTTCAAAATTAAGATTATTACGTTAAGGATTTCAAGTGGGTCCAGTAAGATTTATTGTGACTCTGTGTAGTCTGCTGGACCAAAATAAATTAAGTTACCGATGATTAAAAATCAGGAACCCCTCCACTATAAGAACAAACACACTCGGCTCTGATGCTGTGGGTTTCACTGGACAACTATGAGATATCATGAATCCCACAGGATCCTCCTGCCACGAGCCGATGTCTCCCATCATCCTGTCCATGTGCAGGGCGTCCAAAGCTGAAGATGAGTTTCGTAATAATAAATAAATAACTAAAAATACATATATAGTTTATTTCAATAAAAACATGATTTCACAACACTTACTGTCATATTCTTTAAAGCCTCTGATATCAGCAGGAACCTCAGAGTCATCCTGAGAAATAAACACACATTTGTTAGCAACAATTGCAAGATATAAATAAATGACCAAATCATAAAATTGTATTTGAAAACAACATATTTACATTCAGAATATTAATATAAATCGAGTATGGCACCTTGAAAAAGTTATCTTGAGAAATAACACAGCTGTTGGGCAGAAGCTCCTGAAGACTTTTACTCAGAGTGGTCTTTCCCCCGTTTGTCATCCTGTCACAGCAGTTCATGTATAACTCATATACTCTCGATAACATTCGAACTGAACACGTTTACTTTTACTTTACTCACCCACCAATTCCTACGATTACTTTTCTCATTGTAAATCAACACTGTAAACAAAACGTTTTATTCAACGCGTCTCCCGTTTTATACTAGCTTCTTAAGCAGTGAGCTGCATGTGTTTGAAGTAAACTTGGCATATTTTCTTCGTTTATTAATCACAGGATCTTTTAAATGCAGACCAGACTGTAAATAAAATCAACTGTGTTGAGATCATTTCTTCTTCTTTGCTCAGTAGCCAGATCAAACCTGCTCTACAGCGCCTCCTGCAGCGCTGGCTTGTCAATGGATGTTTGTAGTATTTATTATTAGTTTGGTTCATTTCACTTAACTTAATTACACTAATAGTCATAAATTTATTTGCAGCATTAATCAGACGTTAGCGTTCAATTCCAAACAGTTACAATAGATCACATTCTCACAGACAAAAAAGTACTCGCCTACTGTTTAAAAGGTTACGAGCACCCATAGCAGGCATGATTTCATAACCTTTCAATTCATGTTTATTTATATAGCGCTTTTTACAATATAGATTGTGTCGAGACAGTTTTACTAAAGTCCAAATATCAGAATTGAAGTTTACTTTAGCTCAGTGTGATTTAAATTTCACTGCTGACAGTTCAAACACTGTAGAGCAAATCCACATGAAATAAGCACAGCTCCACAAGTCCTGATCCGAGCAAGCCAGTGGCAAGGAAAAAAACATCTCCAATTGACGGAGTGAAGGGAAAACAACCTGGAGAGAAACCAGGCTCTGTTGGGCATGACAATTATTCTTCTGGCCAAACATCCTGTGTGGAGCTGCAGTCTAGACGCCGGAGGCTGGACGTCCATTGTGGAGAAGCTGCAGTTATTAGTAAGGCACTAGCGGGTGGTCAGGCTGGCACACAGGATCAATGCGGGGACTCACAGTGGTCTTTTGGGAATCAGTCTAATGCACTCCATTCCTCCATGTTACATGCGTTACAAGTAACACCACCACAGCACCACAGAAGGTTGCTGGTTTGAGTCCCAGCTGGGTCAGTGGCATTGCTTTGTGAAGTTTACATTTTCTCCCCGTGCTGGTGTAGGTTTCCTGCAGGTGCTATGCTTTCCCCCACAGTTCAAAGACATGTGGTATAGGTGAATTGAATAGACTAAAATGGCCAGTGTAAATGAGTGTGTGGATGTTTCCCAGTGTTGAGTTGCAGGTGGAAGGGCATCTGCTGTGTAAAACATATGCTGGAATAGCAGTTCATGCAACTAAGTTGAAGGAAAATTAATGAATGATTGCTTCCTGTACTTCTAATTTTAGGTAATATATTCTTCAAAAATACTACATATTAATTAGCTTAAATTCTTTAATAGTAATTTTTGAAAGTTAGCTTCTGCTTTTTCCTTTGATATCTGATGAAATACTTCTATCTGGTAATAGGAACTAGTATCTAAAGTAAGTACTAATATCTTAATAATAGCTACTAGTACTACCTTAAAAAATACTAGACTTAAATGCATACTATTGAAAAATAAAAATAAATGCACAAAAAATATCTCAATGAGTTTCTGACAGAAATCAACGGCAACTTTGTACAATTTGTTACAAGTAACAACCGAGTGGTTATTAGCCACTATTGAAATAAGTACTATCAAAAGAATAAGTTCTAGTACCTAATAATTAGTACTAGTAGTTAGTGAGTAAATACTAATTAATAAGCATCTGTATTTAGTAAATACTAATATATACTAAATACTATCTTAACTGAATATATGCTAGTATCTAAGATACTAAACAGACACTAGTAGCAAAATAATAATTACTAGCTGAAAGTGGACACTAGTACATATTATAGATTAAATGGTAAAACAACTTGCCATGATATGGCAAAAGGCAAGGAGCACTTCTCAACATCACTATTCACTTGCCCTCATTTACACTGCAGAACATAAAAGGAGCTGTTTTTATACTTTTTTTGTGTCCACACAATTGTTTCAGTGTCCATGCAAACCAAAGGGCAGCACTGTTCAGATCTTCAAATTATCTTTTGTATTTCTCAGAAGTAACACATGAATGATAAGGAAAAGCTAATTTTTGGGTGAACCATCCTGTAAAGGAAGATCAATCTAATTAACATCCTGTAAATAAACCACTTAAATGTGGTTATTGAATTAATCATAATGCATTTAAGCTATTAAGCTATTTAAAGAGTGCTTTTGTTCTGTAAAATCCCCACCAAAAGTGCACAGCCTTTCAGAGATGCACAAAAACACAAACTACTGCCCATTGTTATTGTTATTGAACTGTATATTTCTAGTCTTTCAACAAAAATTTGTGAAAAGGTCCAAAACCAACCAAACTAGTGAAAAGGGACAAACAAATGAGAAGGTGCAACGTATTGATTTTTATTATTTTTTTTGGTTTAATTTTGTTTTATTTCTTTGTAATATTTGTACAACTGTGCAAATCTGCTTGTGTATTTACAGTATATAGTACAAACATGAAAAAACATGAGGTCATATAATAAATAAAACTTTTGTTTACTTGAGAAAAATGTAATTCCTCAAGCAGGGTACCTGAAAAACAATAATAATCACATTTAAGGACACTAATGATCTAAACATTTAACATAAACAGAGAAAAAGATTCTGAGATTTTCTTTTGAATTGATTCTGAGCTTAGTTTTTAACACAGATAGCGCTCTAGGCTAATTTTTAGCTGTGCACTCAAATGCTCACCCGAAAGAGCACTCCTGTGTCAAATAAATTGGCTTTTATGTCACCAGATTACTGTAAACAGCTTACTATGAACGCTCTTGTAATTCACGTAAAGGGTTCCAATTTTGATCTTTTTACAAGATCTATAATAAGTCTTTGTTGTGTCTTTAGAAGGTGTCTGTGAAGTTTCAGGTCAAAATACCCTTTCCCAACCACTGATGGGACATTTCGCATTGGAGAAGGATGACCAGGGTAAGGTGTCAGGATAATCGCAGCAAAATGACAACTTTAAAACAGAGACCCACAGTCACACATACACTGTAAAATCCAACAGTCAACTTTATTAAATGACATGAGTGTAGCTAACTCAAGATAAACTGAAAGTTAATTCTACTCATTTTAAGAGTTTTGAACTCAGTGTGGAAGAAAACGAGTTAATTAAATACCTTATAACTTCTACTTAAATGGAGTAAGTTCACAGTACTTATATAGATTAGTTTTTGAGCTCAGATGGTTTGTTGCAATCGGTTTCCTCAAACGGTTTGAGTTGCCTTAAATAATTGGGTTTTATAATACGCAGTTGGTTTGAGTTCTCTTTATTTATTGGGTTTACAATAATGATCGATTACAATGATTGAATATTACAGAGAGTATGAACAGATTATTTAATCGTAGTTTAGATCCTGCAAATCCTGTCTTGTGGATATGATTATAATAATATCAAGACATGGTAATACTTGCCAGTCAATCAATATCACTGGGCATGGAAAACCGAACTGCTACATCTTGTTATGTTGGGCCTCAAAATCACTGGGATATAAATCCTATTTTAACGTCAGG